ACCATGTGGCATTAATTGTTCATGCAGTGTTTCTAATCAATAATGTGGAGAAAAACTTTTGCCAGTGACTTATCTTTGTTAGGTAGTCGAAAGATAAGGAATGAGCCACTCAGAGTATTTTATAGTTTTTCATTTGTTAAGGGTACTATATAAATAATGTTACATAGCACTCCTTAATATTGTTAGAAATGGTTTTGAAAAAACAGATTTTTCCTAAATTTTGGTCTAATTTTTAGGTGGAACCTAAGCGCCAAAGTTGGCGGGTCTAAGTGGTAATACGTTCTATGCCGCATTGTAATTCGCGTAGTATATTTGGTTGCTCAAAACCATTATCGGGTGAATTGAAACCAAAGTGAGTTCTATGGAATGGTATATAAGTGAAATTTCCTCAAAGGTTTGTCCCACATTGATTTGATGGGCAAACTTTTGTGGGTTTATAAGGCATGGACTTACAACTTGGAGAGGGCCCTAAGGGTACCCAAGTTTTGTAGAAGGGTGACGTTATGGGTTAGACCAATTGGAATCAAAATAAACACACACGCGCCGTCGTCCGTCTAGGCTTGGGCGCGGGTGCATGACCTAAGGTTAGGTTGGGCTTGTCCAACCCAATACTTATCTTTTTGGGCCAAAAATATTTAAATTTTATTTTATTTTTTGGTAAAATAAAATCTGTCCAATTTTAAATTTTGATTGGAAAAATTCAAATTTGTTCGCACCTCTTCAAAATTTCTGTACAGTTTCCATATCTGTCCAAACAGATCCGAATTTGTTCAAATTAAAACCCAAACAATTCTTTATCTGTTCACCGAACAGGTTCTATACCTCTTCAAACAGGTTTGCTCCTTGTTGGATTCAAACCGAACAGCCACTAAGTCATCTATAAATAGGCAAGCCCTCATTTGGTTTATTCATTCAATTTTTGTTCTTCTCTGCTGCTGTTAATCTCTGCATTTTGCTGCATTAGTTTTTCCTGTGACAAAGAGTATAAACACAAAGTGTGTTCGTTGTGCGAATAATTTGTAGTGCTGCTATTATTCGTTGTTGATTATTTTATCTTAGGAAATAGACGTCCACAATTTAAAAGTACCGTGGAGATGACGAATCTGTCTTAAGGATACAGTGTTAAACACTGAACTTGATAAAAAATTTGTTCGAGAAAACAATAAGGTAAGTGCCTTGATTACTTTTCTGTTTAATTATTTTTCCTATCCCATATTTTGATTTTATTTTTGTAACAAAATAAAAATCTGTTTGTATTTATTTGTTTTTATACATTGCTTTGATTTTTGTAATAAAACAGTCTTTCTTCTTTATTTAATCCATTCTTTGAATACAGTGAAGATTGTCCAACAAATTACTTAATAGTCGAAAGAATTGGTCTCGTTTGAGAACCTAGTTATTTTAATAGGTTATTTTAATTTTTGGCCATTTTAGTAGGCTAAAATATTTATATTTGGGAAGAGGATTATATTTTTTTTTATAATTAAAAGTGATATTTGTGAGAAAAAAGTGAAATATTGATTATAAGTTTAATGTGACATTTTATTTTATTAACTATTATAGTCTATTTTGTGAATTTTAACCCAAAAAAAAAAAGCCAATTTTTAACTTCCCAAACACTTTCACTTAGTGTATTTTGTAATTTTTTATTTATCAAGAGTACTTTATAAATAATATCAAATAACACACCTGAATTACTTAATAGTCGAAAGATGAAAGATTCACTTGTTATACTTTGTTATATAACACTCCTGAATTATTTAATAATATTTTCAAATTTAAGTGTTAAAAGTATTCTCATATGTGTCATTAATATATTTATTAGATTCCGCCTTTCATGTCTTGATAGCATTATTGATTTTATCTTGCAAAAGATTTAGAAAAGTCCAAAGAGATTGCTTGATTGTTTGAAACAAGAATGTTCTTTCATCTACTTGTGTCATATCCTACGTCTGAAATTTCATTTGGATTTTCTTTACCTATTTGAAGGCTTGAAAATTGATCAGTGCATAGTTGTGAGTTGTGAATTGGATTTTGAAATGGAAAAATATGAATTTTGTTTAGTTTGATTGTTTAAAATATTTTAAGATGAATTTTTTTTATATTTTAAAAAACACTAGAAAATATGAAAAATACGAAAAATATTTTTCAAAAAATACTAAAAATATTTTATGTACAAAAAATGGGATGTAAGATAGAAAGGACTATGCTCTTTCTTATATAAATTGTGTTTGGTGTTAGTTTGAAACATATTTATACAAAATATCTAAGAGTAACATAATAATTTCATCACATCCATTAATACATTATTGTAGGGAAAGTATATAATTCATCAAAACTGTGATTTTAAAGCCTCGTTTGGGAACGATCTGTTTTAGCCTAAAAACTAAAAAAAAAATTAAAAAAATTAAATAGCCAACCACTTATAGTAAAAAGTTAAAAATTTCATTTTCTCTCTACTTTTTGCACATATTTTCGAAAAAAATCAAAAAGTCATCCCAAACATACTAGTTTTTTTACGTCATAAATTAGTCAAAAAGCCAAAAAATTACTAAAAAAGTCTATTACCAAACGAGGCCTAAGTTATAATTTCTTCATTATTCGGAGAAGGTCAATGTCATTTACTATTAAAAAGATGAGAGTTTTAAAGGTTTTTTGGGATTTCAATGTGACTATGTACTTAACTAATAGTATTTTATATTTTTCTTATAAATGTCTAATTTTTTGAGCCATATATAATTTACGTAATTCTTTATTATTGAGTTAACACACCACTAATGAGGACAAAATTTTCAACATCAACTATTGTCCATCAAATTCTAAACATTTCCATTCCTTTGTGATTTTTCATGTTCGTCCGGAGGGTACCAATGTTGCTCATTGTCTATATAAGCTAAGCCTTTGATGTTAATTCCCCTTGCATCTTGATGGAGGAGGTTCCTCCTTTGCTAGTGCAATTGGTTGCCTTTAAGCTTCGTATCTTTATAACTTTTTCCCCCCCTCTAATACTGTATTTGGTTGAGAGATTTGAAAAGTAATTTAAAAAGAGAAAGGGAAAAAGTAAGTGAATAAAATATACCTATATTTTACTTAGTTTTACACTTTTTTTTCTTTTTCTTTTCTAAGGTTGTGTTTGGTTGGGAGATTTTGAGAGGAATTTGAAAAGGGAAAGGAAAAAGATGTGTGAAATTATATGAAATGTAGGTATATTTTTTCACATTTCACGTATCTTTTCCATTTCTCTTTCCAAATCACTTCTTAAATTCTCTAACCAAATACAATGTAAATCTTTTCTCAAATCCCTAACCAAAATTAAAAAAATTCTCACTCATTCAAACCGATCTGTAGATATATATAGTTATATCTGGGTCCAATTGGCCCTGGCCCAGCCCTGCCAGGAGTATCATGCAATTTAATGACGATTCATTACCCGCTTCACAGCACCCCCCTGGCCCAATATTTCTTTTAGGATGTATTTTGTTTGCGAGTAAGCCGTACAAAATGCTGTGCAATCCTCATTGATTTATTTGCTAATTATAAATTAATTTGATTCATGATTTGAAATTATAATTCACCTTTGAAATCTCTTTGCTCCGCCATAATTAATATATATATATATATATTTTACTTCTAATAATGAAATATCAAAAAAAAATCAGTGTGAAAGAGATTTGAGATGTCAAATATTATGCAAATTACTATTATGTATTATGCAAATAGTTGATAATTGTTTAAGGTTATTCTTTAATTAACTAATAGGTTGAAACCATCCAAACAACAGTTTAGTTACATAGAGTAAATTTGTCAATCTACCATATATAATTTGGTTTAATTTTATCCTCAAACAAATAGTTGTGCTTTATTATGATTTATTTTACATTCACTGACACAAAAATGTGTACTTTGCATTTGATAAACATGTGCTTGGAATCGTTAATATTCTTTGGTTTACCGTTATGATGTATAAGGGTCTAATAAAATGTTTATTGTCTGAGTCGATTTTTGACCACACTGCCAAACAAGTACTCAGCTGGCGAACACTGACAGATTAGATCGCGCTCGAACGACCTGCAACAAAAAGAAGAGGTTCCGGCGGTGGTTCGCCCACCCGAGGCACTCCGACGATCAAATCAGTTATCTTTTAAAGATAGCAAAAGTGCTTAACTCACTATTCAACAAAAAGAAGAGCTTTTTTATTCATAGTTATATATCTTTTGCTATCAAGAGGTTTGATTGAAGAATTAAGTATGAGATCATTTGTTAATCTATTTAGCTTTAAAAGATTAAATTATCTCAAGTGTTTTTTTAGTAACTTTTTTTCTTTTTACTTTTCAAGAAAAAAAAATAAGTGATAAAAAATTAGTGTGTTTGACAAATACTAAAAGGTTATTTTCTATTAGTGAAAAAGTGTTTTTGTTTCAGCTAAAAAAGCCAGTGTTCAAACTACACAATCTTTTTATTTATTGAAATAGCCTTGAAGTAATTATTTCAGCCAAAACCAAACTACACACACACCAAAAAAAAAGAAAGGGGAGATTGAAATAGCCAAAGAATGCACTTGGATCATGAATCTTAATAGAGATTTGAAAAGATAAATGAAAAAGGTAGATGAAATTCCTTTTATAAATTCTTATCAAAATTCATAATCCAAACACTTAAAAAATAATTATTTCAGCCAAAACCAAACATGATTGGCTCAACAAGATATGAAGAAAGACCAAAATGCCTAGGTAGCATTAAGATGATCAATAATACTAGGATGGCATACACATCAAAGCATTGTATGTACTTGCCAATAAAAAAAAAAAAAAAATGGGGGGGGGGGGGGGGGGAATTTAAAAAAAAATCAAGATGATAGTCATATGAAACCCTATGTTACAGCACACTTGATATATCTAAACCAAGAATTAATGCATAGCATCATGAGCAATCAGCCTTAATTTTTTTAGCAGAGTGACTGCTCATGATGGTATATCATTTCATGAAGCCCTTTTTTTTCATATAGTGTGCTGTGACAAAAATTTCCATCTACCGGAAACCGCCACCGAAAGCTGGCGGAGCCGCCGCTGGAGCCCAATAATCTGCCCCATTGTCACTCCCAACTTGCAGTGTGCATGATATTGGAACTAGGCACAACCCTCTACTCCTCAAGTCCTTTGGTTCCTCACAATCCTAACAATATTCCAAATAAAAAAATAAAAAAATTCATTAATGACAACTTTGTCAACTTAGCTAGAGACGAAGGAAAAAATAAAATATGCATTATGTGTTAATTTGGTCTTCCTAGTTTTAATTTCGTTGATTTTATTTCTAATGTATTTTATTTGAGTCATATTAATTTAATTTAAAATAAATCATTTAAATTACTAACATAATGATAATAAAATACATATATGGTCCCTATAGGCCGTCTTCCAAGTCACGTAGGAAGTTGCATTTGGTTAATTACTTTTGTCAGTTAATGCACACTTCAACATACAATTTTAGCTATTTCGTTGGAGATTCTCCTAGTTCCCAAAGTTTTCTATTTCAATTTGGTCCCTAAATATTGATGAAGAAGACATAGCATAGCTTTATAGCATTTAGGGACCAAATTGTCAAAAACTGTAACTTTGGGACCAAAGTGGCCCAAAATGCATATCTTAAAAATCATGGCCGCATTTGCTTAAACTTTCTAAATATGATTTGAAAGTAGGAGTTGTATATTGATTTTGTGAGTTTTGAAATTATGATTTGAGTGCGGAAAATTTGTTTAGTAAAAAAGTTTTGAAAAGAGTTTTGAATTGAGTGAGAAATTTTTGATGTGACATATAATATTTGATACAAAAACTTACAACTTATAATCAAATATACAACTCAAAATTCTATTAAAGCACATAAAAAATTTTAAAAAATTCGGAAAATATTTTTTTCGAATATATAAAAATTAACATATATCAATTGCAAAAAAAAAAATTGGCACTGTTCGGTCAACCAGCCGGACGACCGGTGGGACGTCCAGTTAGGCCAAATTTCAAAAAAAAAATAAAAAATTGAAAACCGCGCCTTACACAGTGTTTTTTGTAAAGTTTTCTAAATGTTGTGGAAATATAATTTGAACATCCTATCCAAACATCATATTGGAATGTGGGGGTAGAATCATAATTTGGAAATCGTTCCAAACACAGCCCATATGTTTATTTTGTTATTATTCTGTTAATAATTTAGACCACAGCCTAAAATCATCCAATTTGATTCAAATTAGATCTTTTAAAATTGAAATTGATAAAATGAAAACTTGAAAGCTTAAAGTGACACAAGGCATGTAAGTCAAGAACCATAGATTTATTTATTTATTGCTTAACAATTATATAAGGACTAAAAATAAAAAGAAGATAAAAAAAGTTTTTGTGAATACCTGCTCGGAAGCTCCTTTTCTCTTCATGCAGTTGTCATTCAACAACTATTCAAGAAATAAATTAACAACATTTCTTTAGATTATTAATCTTTTTTCATTCTAATGGAACTAAAATAGTCCCTAATTATTACTTTCTTGGTTTTAATCAAGGTTAAAGTCTATAAAGCTGCTAACCTTATGCTTAACTATAACACTTTCATTGCAATTAATTATGATGATACAGTAAATAGAATTTTTTATTTTATATTTTCAAATACATGCCTTTGAGGAGGTAATGGATCCAATAAAGCATACCTGACCAGGGTCTTCAGGAAATAAACAATTCCTCTCCCCTTGAACCTAAAAAAATAAAAATAATTATTAATTAATTAATGCCACATAATTAACACAAATACACTTGCACATGCACATATCCCTACAAATGGTTAGGAATTCTGTATCCCCACATTTCATTAATGTATTTTTACAAATAAGATTATATAAAAATTGAGTTTTGCTACCTCATTAGAGGTGCAATTGGTGGTGATAAAATCGGGGGATGAAACATTTTTCATATAACTTTTGAAACATAGAAATTTGAGAATAATTCTATGTGAGAGAGTGCATTAAAACGGAGGGATATATTAATTAAGAAAATTTTCACGATTTTTGACTGAAGTTCACAATTAATTATGCTTACAAAATATGCCAAAAGACTTCTTTACCCTTCTCATTTTAACAATATATTTTGCCTCTTCTTCTGTTTTCAAAAAATTCAATCACCAACATTTATTCCCCAAATTTTATATGAAATCTACAGAATTCTCAAAACATAATCTTACAATTAAGAGTTATAATAGAGGAAAATAAAGTTTGGAACAAAGTATCTACAAAACCCATGCACATACAAGATAGAGAGTTTTATTTATTTTATTTTATTTTTATATTTTTGATATTATATATATATATATATATATAGAGAGAGAGAGAGAGAGAGAGAGAGAGAGAGATTGGTGTTGCTTTGGGAAGTGAGAAATGAGTTTTATGTAATATCTTACAGTTTGAATGTGGGTCAGACTCAGACCAGACTTTTCTTCTTCACCCACCAATCCTCCCCTACAATAAGGGCCTGCATTCAAGGGGGAAGAGAAGAGAATTGACATTTTTTTTATAAAAAAATTCAATAAAACTAAAGAATGGTTTTGAAGTAACATTGAAAGATGAGATTGCAATTATTATATTATATGTGCCCATTACTGGTTCATGGTAGTTAGCAAAAAAATAAAAAGAAGAGGAAGAAACATATATTATCACCTCAATTTGACTCTGAAGGAATCTAATGTACCCAATAGCTTCTAACAACACAGAAGCAGTGTCAGTCTGCAAAAAAGAGAATTTAAAGGCAAAAACAAAGCCATGTTTCATGTTCTCTTTAAAACTTTAATAGATCAAACCCTAGACATATATATGAGAAAATAAAGAAGAAGAAAAACAAAAGAAAACAAAAAGGAACTTTCACCTTTGGAAATAAAATACTTCTCTGTAGGGCTTTCCTCATAAAGAGCTATATGTCATGTTTGTGCCTTGTGAGGCATTCTTAATTTTGTTATGGGTAAATCACATTGGAAGTCCTGCATTTTGCCCTTTGCTTTATTTTGATCATTGTAATTCTAATTAGTTTAATTTTATCTCTTAATTTTAAATTTTGTATTAGTTTAGTTTAATTGATTATGCCAATTAAGATTTTTGAAGGAAAATAATCACTGGATTGGTTGAAGTTAACTCACTGAGTTGAACAATTTTATAATTTTATTTATAGAAATATAACATTGCCGTTTATGTGTGAATTTTTTATATAAAAAAATATTAAAAATTAGACTAAGGCCAAGTTTGGGTACTTCTAAAAAAGTTAAAAAGTCAAAAAGTTACTCAAAAAGTTAAAAAGTTAACACTATTCACCAAAAGTCAACAATTACGGCTGCACAACTCCCAATTCAAATTTTTCCTTACAAATCAATTTTTACAATTTTTTATTACACATTTTTCAATAAAAAGTCAAAAAGTTAACCCAAACATCCATATTTTCAACCTCAATTTTTTAGTCCAAAAAGACAAAAAGTGCACTTTTTTAGTCTTCTCAGATAAAAACATAAATTTAGAGTTAAAATTAAAATGACCTAAATGACATGAGGATGAAAATATATGGACTACCATCTAATTGGCCTTCTGTTTTTTAATTAGAATTTAGAGCATACCTTCCCAAATGGGGAAACTAGCTGGTGGAGGGATGTTATTCTGTCTCCTAATTTCTCCTTCCTCACCTGTTGGAAAACACAACAAACAAAATGAGTACTTGTTTGCAAAATTGTTTTTCATATATAAATAATTGAAAGATTTTTGTTTTCTTCTTGTATATGGATGATATGTGGATAGCTAACGAATTGTCATCCTTAAAGAAGAGGACACATCAAGAAAGACAACAGTAATCATCCAACACAGAGAGAGAGAGAGCGAGAGAGAACCCTAGTTTTCAAAATGGAATTAGTTTTATTTACCTTGAAGGTTGATTGGGTTGAACAAGGTTGATGAACCCTAGCTTTCTTTAGTACCATACCACCAGTGGCAGTGCTGTTGCCCTACAGGAAAAAAGAAATTGTCAAGATGAGAATCTTTATTGACCACATTTGATAAATCAAACTAGATAATAAACAATTCATTTCCAAGAAACTTTAGAATGAACTGTAGATAGAAAATATTGATCAAATCCCTAAAATCACTGGAATTAGATACAATTCTCTTCATATTTGTAAATACTCTCCTACCTATTCAAAAGAAGAAAAAATACAATTCTTCTCTCTCATACCTCAGAGGAACGATCCGGTGGTGGATGCCTCCCATCAGACTTCTTGTTAGAAAAATCCAACATGTTGATGTCGCTTAAATGTGTTGTAACACAAGACTTTGGATATGAAGCAATCATCATTTGAGACCAAGTAGGTTTTGCTGTTGTTTGGTAGTCCACATTAGCATTTCCATGTCCATAGACATAGCTGCATGGTGAGTTTTCTTGCTTTATTTCCACAGATGGAGCATTTGGAGCTTGTTGCAATAGTTGTTCTTCCCAATTCTCCAACTTCTTAGCTTGAATGTGGGTCAGACTCAGACCAGACTTTTCTTCTTCACCCACCAATCCTCCCCTACAAATCAATAAATCCCAACTAAATTTCATTTTATCAAAACAATATAAAACAATTAGTAGTTATATATGGATGGAATTGGGGGATAGAAATTATGGGAGCATGTGAAGTCCAAGTTGTGATCAAAAGCTCAAGAGAGAGAGAGAGAGAGAGATCATGACAGTATAAAGATAATCAACAAATTAAGATGAAAGCATCAAAGAGTACAATGAGATACTTAATGACTATGAACTAAACTTCATCACTCATAGTCTTTATTAACTCGTTGTGCTTTTGCTCTGAATTTAACAATTTTTTTCTTTTACTGATAAAAAAAACAAATTATAAGATGAGTATTATATAGAGAGGATAAAGAAGATATTCAACTCGAATATCAAAATTTTATGTATGTGTGCGAGAGAGATGCATGTATAAGCTCTCAAATTTTAGATAAAATGACATATATCTCGAAGGTATAATAAAAAGCCATCAAGATTAGAGTACAATGAAATGATAATTTATATGACAGTCCTTATTATCTTGCTGTACTCTTTGCTTCGAGTTTAATAAAATTCTCCTTTTTATTGACTAAAAAAAGAAACAAATTATAAGATGAAGAGCATGTATATAGAGTGGTATATATACGGAGTGAAGAAAATATTCAAAAACCCATGTGTGTGTATGAGAGAGAGAGAGAGAGAGAGAGAGTTACAAGAGTAGTTGACTCCATGACTCTGGAAGGTCCTGGTTGTCATGCCAAGAAGATATGGGTGGTGGTGTGAAGTGAGGGAATAGATTTGGAACAGGAGGCAAGAAAGGTGAAGATTGTTGAGATGGTGGCCTCATGCTATTCATATTCCACCAGTTAGGCCCTCCGGCCACCATTTGTTGCACCGGTGAGCTCTGCAACACACCTTGATTCATCGTTCTCTCTTTCTCCTCCTCAACAAACACACAATTTTCCCTTGCTTTCTTTCACTTTCTCCCTCTTTCTCTTTTGCTTTTCTCTTGAAACTCCCAAACACAAGTCTTTGTAAGAAACTTTGAGAGGTCTAACTTCTCTGGATTAAGTAGAGGAAGCTCTCAAAATTCTCATTGAAAGAGAGAGAGAGAGAGAGAGATTTTTATTTTTTTTAATCATAGGGGTTTGAGAACCTTTGTTGTTTCCTTTCTTTCTTTATTAGCTTTTTCCTTTTTCTTTTATGTTTTTCTTTTCTTTCTTTTCTTTTCTCTTAGCTTTTGCTTTATCCTAAAGCGAGGCAGAAAAAGGTGGTAGCAATACTCAATTAATAAGAAAATCTAAAGTATTAAAAAAAAAAAAATTAAAAATCTGATCACTAGAGTAACCTTTGAGTGCATCACAATTCCATCTTATCAAAGCTAAGAGGATAGCTTCAATCTTCATATCTACACCATTACTGAAATAATTCACTATAAGCCCCCCTTTTTAAAATTTTTAATTTTGTAATGATGGATCATTAGGAAAATTATATATAAGTTCATTTTTTAGATTCATTTTCTAGACATAGTGAAGTGTCATCAACTAATCATTTTCTTGACACATCACTAAATTTAAAAAATAGGTCTAATTTTTTAAACTGATTAATAATACTCTGGATTATTATAACTAGCTCACACTACCATTTAAAATAAAATTTTATGAACAAACTATGAATATTTACAATCATTTGTAAACCACAATATCAATTAAACTCAAATGTTTTTGCATCTGTGAGCGTTTAACATGAAACATCTTAAAAAAATCCCATAGTGAAGTTTTTAAAATTTTTTGAAAGTGGGTTGTTTCAATTTTTTTTTTTTTTTTTGGCCTAGTTTGATTTTTTTCCCCTCAAAATCTCTAAGTTCGTTCATCTTATTTGACCTACCAATTTTCAACCATGTTCATCAATTATGCAATAATTACCTACACAAGCCTAAGCAAGACCTTCTTTTGATCTTTTCCTGTTTGCCTTTTAAAAAATTTGACACTAAAAGTTAATGGTCATAGTTAACCAGCCAAACAATACAGGACCCACTACAAAAAAATCATACAAGAAAATGATAATCACCATATACATATAATCAACAATATATTTAATACAAGCTAACACAGTCATGTATAAGATGATCATATCATGATGGTATAGATGATAATTTACTCATTGTGTATTACAAACAATGTTAAGTATATCTACATAAAACGTCATGTTTTTAGGCATGTGCTACATAAAGAATTGGGTTAAATACATTTTTAGGTCGTTAAAATATGTATTCCATGTCATTATAATTCTTGATATTTAATGTGTTAATTCAGTCTTCAATGGACTCGAAGATAAATAAATAAATAAATAAAATAATAAATAATAAATGGTCTCCAATATCAAATTTCCATCCATATTTTATAACAGAACCATGGGTACTTTGTCTAAATTAAGACAATTCGAATGAAAATAGGGTTGAGACACAAATTAAACAAGTTAAGGGTTAAATTGACACAATTAAATATCAAGAATCAAATTAAAAACTTAATTTAGGGATTGATGGTATAACAACCCAAGGATTGTGTTTTTGTCGCACCCCAAAATTTAGACAATTAAATATTAAATAAGGACTAAATCCCAATTAATATTCCATCATGTAAATCCTAAGGGTGAAACAAAATCTAAATATTTTCGTCTCAATTTGGTTTAAGTAAATTTCAATGCTCAAAAAAATTACAAGAGATAAAAAAAAAAAAAATTAACAAAATACCAACCAAACCATCCATCATAAATTTATAACTATTCAATACCTTCAATATTAAAGTAACACTAAATAGTCAAAACAACTTAAATAAGATAAAGTTAGAAAATAACCCACAATACCAAATTATTAAAATACTAAGGTCATAAAAAAAAAATTTAAAAAAAAACTAATATCAACCCTAAACTCAAGAAAACAAAAGAAGTCTGAGAGACATGTCCTACAACCATAATTATTTCTCGTCACCGCCGTAGTTCCAACTAATTCTACAAAGGAAGCTCAACTGCGCTCAAACAGAACGTATCCGAGATGTATGAGTACAAGATTTGACACTCATGTGTCCACCAGACACAAAAAAAAAGTACATTTAACTCTATTATGAGACAAGACAAATAGTTCCACCTGCACTGAGACGAAGGGGTAGTTTCTCAAGATACGGTGACATTTAGTTTTTTGTCCATACACAACTAAATATAAATTGAGTATAAAAAAAATAAAAATATATATATGGTGGGTCAACTCTGCAAAAAAAGTTAGTATGACTCACCATTCTACAAAAAAATAAAGTTAGTATAATTTAATCATAAGTAAATTACTGAAGAAGTATAAAAATGTACTATTTCATGCTTAGATCATTCGAATTGACCAAAATCTAAAGAACAAGAGTTGTACAGAATCAAATTTCCTTAAAAGGCAGCGCGAAATAATTTAGTATAAATTGAACAGGTTAAGAGAAAAACTTGATAGAAGCATCTAGATAGAAGTCGAACGAAAAACCTGAAACTGAAAACGAAAAGAAACTGCCCTACAATGATTTTTTTGGGAAAAGTTCAAAACACGAAAAGTGTTCAGAATAATTTTTTTACTTCAATTTATGCTAAATTAATGAAAATGAACTCGTTTCATAGATTAAAATAGCATTTAAAGTCTGCATTGTTAAAATGAATAAAAACTATTGTAATTAAGATCATCTGATTACAAATTCTAATTGATCTTTTTAGTAAAAAGTTAAAATAATTAGTTATTTATCGAGATCGTTTACATACCTCTGCCCAAAGTTGTCTAGAATTACATTTACATGCCTCTGTCCAAATTTCGTAATTTATCGAGATCGTTTACTATTTTTCAAGATGTACAAATCAAAATAATTCAAACTATATCAATAAATTCTTATTTAATTCTTTGTACCTTAATTCCACCAGTTCGATCCTTCACTTTCGGCCTACACATATATCTATTGTGTTTTCCGTATACCTAACATCGCTCCAAATCCAAACTTGCATGATGATATCGTCTTAAATTTGACCCACACTCTCCAGACGGTTAGCATATACGTATGCGCATAAATTAAAGCATTCATCTACTCCTGAGAATGAGGCAATAATATATATAGGGCAGTGCTACGTAGCTCGAAACCCCTCCCCCCCGAATCCCCCAGACCAAAAACGACGCCATTTTTGTTTTGTTTTTGTTTTTTTGTTTTTTTGTTTTTTTTTTGCAGATCAAAAGCAGGAAGAAGAAGAAAGAGGAGAGAGGAGGAGGAGGGACTAGAGGGAGAGGATGAGGAGGGACTGGAGGGGGCCCAACAAATGGGGCTGGAGGCGGAGGCCGGGGGCGGAGGCAGCAGAGGTAGGGGCGGCGAGGGGCGGGGCTGCGACGGCGGAGTTGCTGCTGCGACGATCAGAGCTGCTCGACGATCGCCAGGTTGGCGGTGGCAAAGAGGGGCCCTCTCCATTCCCTCTTCTCTTTCTCTCTTTCTCTCCTCCCGTTCCTGAGCTTATCGAAAATGGAAGAAAAAAAAGAAAAAAAAAAAGCTAATGCCCAAAACGACGTCGTTTTGGGTATTAGGGGAATTCGGGGGGGAAAATCCTCGTGCTACCAAACATTATTCATATATATATATACAACACCTCATCTACTCATGAGAACAGACATTACAATGCTGAGCCTAAGGCATTCAAATAAATCTCAAAATTCTCACTTCTTTTTTTTTATACTTTTTCCCACCATCGCTCAAATAAAACAACAATTCACAAAGTTATATTGGAGTATACGGAATATATCTATGGATTCCTAATTTATTTTAATTTCATATGTCCATGAGTAATTATATCCATAACATAAATATATATATATAAATCCTAAACCTTGCATACACAACTAACTAAAATAATTGAAATCAATCCATCATTTATATGCAAATTAATCCATCATCTACATACAAGTAAAACATCAAACCAATATCAAATAAATAAAACTAAATAAATAAAAATAACAATATAAATATAAATAAAGAAAAGTGGGTTTAGCATAAAAAAAAGTGGGTTTTGCACTCACAATTTTTTTTTGAAAATCAAAAAAAATACTTAAAATATTAATAAAACCACTAAAATAAAATTTTAATCCATTTATTTTGTCTCCACCTCTCCTCTGTCTTCCCGCGGTCTCTCTTTTCTCTCTCCATATGCGCACTCTCTGTTTTTGGTAAATTGCAACCTAATTTAATATTAATACAACATATATAAAGAATGACTTAAAACCTAATTGAGCCTCATATATAACACGCTTTTGTTTATTTTTATTTATTTTATATATTATATTTTATTATACAAATACAATATATATAAATATGCTATATAAGGTCAATATATAACACTTTATATATATATATATATATATATATATTTAAATTAATTATATATTATTAAATATCACATTAAATAAATTAAATAACACATTAGATTCATATGTATTTACATAATTAATGAAGTAATAAAAAAATAAAGTAATAATAATAACAAATAGTGACTTAAAAAAAATTATGGTCGCTACAGTTTTGATTCAAGAAATGATTTGTGGAGGGTAAGGAAAATAATGCAATTTTTTAATTTTCAGATATTCTGAAATAAGGCATTGCTTGCTGATCTCCTAATTTTTAGTATGTACAAAATCAAATATATCCATCAAAATCAAATATATCCATCTTTGGCACATAACATTATGCGGGTATTCTTGCTTTGAATCAATATAAACAAATTACTTATTTTGTTGGAAAAATGTTAGAAAATTTTAAAATATGACCTTTAAATTCATTTTTAATGATGGGGTTGGGCCTTTTGTAATTAATTTTTAAAACAATTAGGGCCCGTTTGTTTTCAGAGGTAGAATAGAAGGGATTCATAGTGAGGGAATTAATAGTGAATGGATTGTTAGTGAGAGAATTGATAGTGAGGGGATTAATAGTGAGGAATTGTTAAATTATTTTTATATAAAATAATAAAACAAATAAAAAAGTATAAAAAATTAAACATTAATATTTAAAAAAAAATCCCAATATATAAAAAATAAAAAAACTTCTAATCCCCTCACTATTTTTTTAATACCATCTCTACATCCTCCTTCTCAATCCCTCTTCCAAGGCC